AAAAATATCAACAAAAATGAGGGTGTTCTAAAATCATCATTGCATGCAATTATTGAAAACTCCGTTATCGTGGCCTTGTGTCAGACTAAATAAAGGTTAGTAAAAAATAACTTCTTGTTACACTAGTCTGAACATTTTGTCTTTGAAATTTTTCATATTCTTTCCAAAAAAAAAAACAAAAAAAACTGGAAAAAGTAATTTATATTCTCAAGAAAATTAAGTCCTCTATAGAGATGCCTGATATCAATGCGTAAAACATTTACACGATGTACAGAATACTCGATCGAGTTAAAAATATTTGTAAATATCAAATAAACTGCCGATTTCATTTGGTATTGGCACTTCTCAGAATTGCTCAAACGAAGTAACAAATGTGGATGAAAGTTTTACTAAACCGAACGTCATTATTTTTCGTTAGTCTGAACAAAAATGTTTCGTTCAAAAATAAATTTCGTTGATGTTATATATTTTGATTAGTTTTCTAGTGACCTCGATACAAAGGAGGGGTTTAATTAATTGGTTTTATTATTCATTTTTTTTTTAATTTGCCATTATTAAAAGATTTTTTTTTCTTAACTTGTGAACCCTAACGGCAAAAAAGAAGATAGATTGAAATAATATTAAATCTTTAAAAGCTTAAAACGTGAGCAATAAAAGCAGAGATTTTCTCTGAGGATTTTCCTATTGCTTATGAGATATTCATTGCAACATTAACTTTTATAACACGCCCCCACTCCAGAAGATAACAGTGTTTTGCTTGTTTTTTGTTTTTTTTACCCCCGTTTTATATCGAAAAACTATCGCCTTCCCGAAGATTACTGGGTAAATTGTATCTAATAAAACCACAAGCAATATACAGTTATGAGCAATGGGTGGTGCAATAAGACTGACTGTTTGGAGAAGAGGTGCATCTTTTATTTTTAAAGTGCATGTTTTGCGATGTGAGAAACTAAAGTTACACATACATAAACGCACACACACACACACACACACGCACACACACACACACACACACACATATATTTACATGATTAAGCTTTTTATTTAATGACTCTTGTGTTCGAACAAGTGTTTTCATTTCTGGACTCAGAGTGTATAAACTTTCCAAATCTACTATAATTTCGAGCGATTTCGCCTTTACTTTTAGCCATTATCAAGGATGATTTTATTTTTGCTTCTTAATTGGGTATATGGGTTGAATGTAGAGTTATACGCAAGTTTTATTTTCTGAACACAGCACATTCTGGCCGTGTTCGTAGTTAATATTATTAAGTGTTGCCTTATTCTTTTTTCGTATAAGTCTTCCATTATTTTTAATCATTTTTTCATGTGGATGAGGTTGTTATGTTTGTATTTTATACTCGTATGTTTTGGATGGAGTCTGGTAACTGAGTGTTTAAATGGATTCTAATAGAGCTGCGGTCATATATATACATACATACATATATATATATATATATATATATATATATATATATATATATATATATATATATATATATATATGATCTGACGATTGCGTTTACCATGAAGCAGACTGTCGCCTCTGGGGTTGACTACTTTTATATTTACATACCCCTTATGTCTGATAATGATTTTTTAACCCATAAATAACGCATACATTAAAACTATATTTTATCATATATATATATATATATATATATATATATATATATATATGAAGAAATATAGTCTTAAGATATGCTATGTTTATGGGATAAAGTGCTCAGTATCAGAGATAGAGCGTGTGTAAATATAAAAGTGTTTATAGAAGTCAACACTTTGAGGCGACAGTCTGACGATTGCATCTACCATGAAACAGACTGCCGCCTCAGAGTGTTGACTTGTATGTTCTTATATATATATATATATATATATATATATATATATATATATATATATATATATATGATGTCACAAAACATGTCCTCATTCTTTAAATGATAATAAATGCAGTGTTTATTAACTTGCAAGCAAAATTAATGGTTAAAATTAAGAAACGTTAATGTTCGTTGACTTACAAAGACGATAAGCGGTTTAAATAAAATTTTAAATGAAATCGAATGCATGTTTATACATATGCAACCTTACGACGAAGTTAAGAGGTGAGTACATTTTTTGGAACAGCCTTTATGCATGCATGTATATTCGTGTGTGTGTCTCCGCATGTGTATATTTGTATGTATGCAAAAGTTCTCTGAGATCGTGTTTGTAAACTAGGATCAAAATACACAACTTAAAATCGGTCGATTCGTTGGACACTTTAATAGACTTTATACAACTGCACATACACATACACGCACACGAACAAACACACATAAACACATACGCACGCACGATATACGCACACACATACATGTATATATTTGTATGAAAAACTATATATATTTATATGAACTGTGAAACTGCAGTGCTGATTTCTATATCCAAACTTTATCATTTATATAATTCACACACGAGTTTTTATGGTGGCTAAACAATCCTTGTAAAAGGCACTATTTTTGATACATTTAAGCTATATTTGTATTTCTTCAACACCCGGAGAGGCAACCTGCGGTTTATACTGCAACTATGATGAGCGTACTTTAGCTATGCCTGGGAAAGATTGCATAATTTGGCGTGATTAACAATACAGAGTAGACTAAAACCCTCGGTCATGATGACTTGAACATTCGGGCTAGAACAAACAACTAAAGTTTCTGTTGGCAAAGCGAACACAAATTTTAGCTAGTGACCAATAAAATTAAAATTATATATATATATATATATATATATATATATATATATATATATTGTGGTTCACCGAAAAAAGGAAAAGTCGTCCAAACCCTCAGAATTCCAATAAAACAAAACTTTCAAGCTTATCTTTCTGACTCTGAGTTTCGCAGAAATAGTAAGCGAGCGATAAAATTTACATGGTAAAATTGAACTTATTTTCTTTTACAAAAATGCAATGTTAATATCTTACACACTAATGAGCGGATCAATTATCTGCGACAATTCTAACATTTTTTAATATATATATATATATATATATATATATATATATATATATATATATATATATATATATATATATATATTATAAAATATAGTTTAAATGTATCCTATATTTATGAGTAAAAGTACTCAAAATCGGGGATAGAACGTATGTAATCATTCAAGTGGACACTGAGGTTAGCACCAAGTGGCGATAGTCTGTTTTTTCATGCTTGAACTCAATGTTCAGGTCATGAAGATTGTGTTTAAGCATGAAACAGATTATCGCCGCTCTTTTTCTGACCTCAATGTCTAATTTTATATATATATATATATATATATATATATATATATATATATATATATATATATATGTGTGTGTGTGTCTATATATTCCGATAGACTAAAATCAGCTTTTTCAGGCTGAAAATGATAAAAGGTTGGTTCCCTATGAGGTTTTAATTCCCTAGTGTAGCGCATGACCAAACAAAATGAGCTTTCTAAACATCTTTTACTCCTGTCCGCAAATACTAATTTTAGCTGAGTATGGCAAAAGGTCATAAATCTAAGACGGAGAATCGACCTCACGACACACAGTTTTTCTAGCTTTCTCCAGTGAATCGCGCCCTAAAAATCTTAGTTTAGTGTGGCGTAAGATCAAACAGTGCTGGCTCCCAATGAGGGTCGACTTCACTAAAGAACTAATCACTTTTAAGACACTATTTAATGTGTTGGGAAACCTTCAGGAAGGTTGCGATCATGGCTCTCCAAAACTGTCTATCATTGGTAGTTCTTTGGAATGTTCGTCTTTTCTTCATCTTTACCTATCCGTGTACTGTCATCCATTTACACAAGCTCGTTAGCTTGGTTACTCGATATTCACTGTCTCTCTTGCCTTCAATATGTATTGCGAGTGTCAAATTCTCCAAGCCTACTTTTCTCTTGATCTGTCCTAGAAATTTAAACTGTCTCTTTCGAATTTTCCTTGTAAAGTCCTCATTGCTTACATGCTCCTTCCATGTTATTCTTAGCATCCTTCTGTAGAATTACGTTTTAATTATTGCTTCACGGCTGTACCTCCGAAAATATTTAAACTTCATCTAGCCTGGCACAAGGTAATATTTGCTGGGCTCTTTGGGGTGATCAAACGTGTTAGTGTAATGAGATTGATCATCAGTGCATTGAATTCTGTTATGCTTGTGTTGCCTTTAAAGCCAAGTTTATTATATCGGGATCCTCACAATAGAATTAGCGAAGCTCTTCATTAATCCATGATTTGATAATGATTTACACTGGGTGCCTGATGTACTAGTGCGCATGCGCTGCAATAATCTAAGCGCCACAAATAAATGTGACAGTTACAATAGCAGCAGTAGTCGTGTGTGTTTTTATTGTCCGCAATTCCAGTTGCAGTGGGTGACGTCGCAATAGTCGTACAGCTTCTACAGTATCTAGAAAACACCTGTGTTTTGGGCTTTTATATTTTGATTTAATGTACAAAAATACGAGATATACAATCAATTGACGTCATCTGCAAAGCTGAGAAGCTTTCTCGTTATATTTCTATCGCACTGACTCTATCCCTCTCTTAAAAAATGAAAACAAAAAAACTGTCAATTTTTCTTCCCGAAGAAAATGAAAGGGGTCGATTCTCCTCGTCTTAGGACGACGGTATCTGGCAGGAATATCCCAAGAAACGCGGTACATTGTTAAAATCTTTAGTGTACTAGACTGACCGTTCTTGGCGAAAAATGTGTTCTACGATTTGTAATGTTTCACTCTTTTCTCATGTTTTCTTTTTTATTTTCCCTTTCTTTTCCCTTCGCTTTCGTGTTTTCATTTCTTTCTTTCTTTTTTCTTTCTTTTTATGCCCTCTTTTCATTTCTTTCTTCTTTCTTTCTTTCCTTCTTTCTTTCGCTTTTCTTTCATACTTATTGTCGCTATTGCTTTCTTTAACTTCTCTTTCTTTGTTTTTTTCTTTTTCCTGTTGTCTCGTGTTTTTTCAATTTCTTTTTCTCTTTCTTTACGTTTACTTTAGCTTTTCATTCTTTGCCATTTTTCTCACTTTTGCCTTTCGTTTTTCTTTTTCTTTCTCTTATTTTTCTTTCTTTCCTGCTTTCGTATTAACTCTCTTTCTTTTTCTTTATTTCACATGTTTTCTTTTAGTTTATTTCTTTTTCCTTTTCTGGTTTCCACATATTTTTCTTTCTTTCTTTTATTGTCTTTCTTTTTTAATTTTTAACGATATTTCAGTCACAATTAAAAATTAGCGAAAAATAGCAAGTATAATTCATGTTGTCGCCAATTTTACAGACATACAAACCTACCAGCCATAACGCTGTTAAAATACGACATATTTGTTAAAGACCTAGATTCCTATCCAAAGGCATCGGAGTTTTCACACCATACACATTCCAAACTGTTTTTTATTCCTCATATATACAGTGATTAACCAAATTTGTTAACAGATTGTAATAATGGATGTTTAAATTTTGAATGGAAGTCTCCATGTAAATACAGGGACAGCCATCTCTCTAAACACATACTTTGATTTTGTCGACTTCAGAACTTTATTATATATATGAGATTTTTTCACCTTTTACAAGAACTGAGAGCCACTCGAGGTAGAGGGTTACGTTAAGGGGCAGTTTATACGGATAAGGAGGAAAATAACTATTAACTCTAGACTTGGACAGTTTCGAGGAAACATCCTGTTAGGAGTCTGCTCCACAGGGCAGTGGTTCGTAGGAAGAAGCTGTTTGAGTGGAAATTACTTCTCGCCAAAAAAAAGGAGGAAGGAATATATGTGGTTTGCTATTATAAGTGGCATAGTGGGAACTAGCTGTGAAGTTTAGACTTGGAGAAACAAGGAGCACTTTCTATGGAAGTAGCGATAGTAGGAAGAAGTTCACCACATACTGTCTGAGAGAGAAAGAGAGAGAGAGAGAGAGAGAGACATATACATAGAGAGAGAAGAGAGAGAGAAGGTGGAAAATAACGTAAAAGCCTTTGAGAAATCTTTGTTCTCTTATGTGAAACTACTTTCTCTAATTCAGAAACTGATGGCAACTGCGCTTATTCGGAATAAGTTCATTGCGATTTACTGAAGTTCACCGGGTTTTTTTTTTCTTTTTTTTTATTTTCTGTTAATATTTTTTTTTTTTTGCGTTGCATAAAAATCAAAATATTTATGAAGTATTTTAACAGAGGACGAAAATACGACACCGAAGTGAGTCGGCGCATTAGAACAGTGAAAGACGCCTTTCAAAAAATAATCAAAGTATTAAGAAAATGTTTAATCATTTCACTCCCAATCAAAGCAATAAGACCACTAAGGCAGAAGCGGTTACTGAATGTGAGAGAATACAAACAAACAAAAATATAACATTATAAATGAGAGAGAACAATAAACAAACAGGGATTAAGAAAACAGAAAATGACGATTGACATTGCATTGACATTTTTGAATAAGGAAAGTTGACTGGAAAGCAAGAAACCGGAAGCGAGTTCCACAAGGTAGAAGTGCGATAGAAGAAACTGTTAGCATAGAACTTACGTAACTACTGAACTGTTATTTAATATCGGTCCTCTTACATGGCATGCATGCCGGAAAATCTTTTCACAGATGAAGAAGAGGCTTCAGGCGGAAGTAATGTTGTTCTACAGAAGGTTGCTGAGAATACCATCAACTGAACATGAGATCAATGACGAAACTTTAGAGAAAATGGAAACAAAAAATACATTTAGATTTAGAATCAGAAAGAGATTAAATTTCGCGGGCTCATAATGAGGAAAGAGAGCTTGAAGAAATTGATACTTAAAGGGCATAGTGAGGTTATGAGTGACAGGGGGGGTAAACAACGTGTAAGTAGATTATGTAAATGGTTGTCAGAACAGGGGTTTAAAGAGATAGTAAAAGACAACTCTTACTAAGAGTTCCAAAGAACTGGAAGTTGTTGAAGAAGAAAGAAGAAGAAGAAAGAGAAAGAAGAAAGAAGAAGAAGAAGAAAGAAGAAAAAAAGAGAAGAAGAATATGACGAAGAAGAAAGAGAAAGAAGAAAGAGGAAGAAGAAGAAGAAAGAAGAAGGAGGAGGATAAGAAGAAGAATATGACGAAGAAGAAGGTGAAGAAGAAGAAGAAGAATGAGGAAGAAAACGAGGAAGAAGAAGAAGAAAGAAGAAGGAGGAGGAGGAGAAGCAGAAGTAGAAAGGGAAGAAGAAGAATATGACGAAGAAGAAGAAAGAGAAGAAGGCGAAAGAGAAGGAGAAGAAGAAGAAAAAAGAAAAAGAAAGGGGAAGATGAAAGAAGAAGAAGAAGAATGAAGAAGAAAGAGAAAGAAGAACGAGGAAGAAGAAGAAGAAAGAAGAAGAAGGAGGAGGATAAGAAGAAGAATATGACGAAGAAGAAGGTGAAGGAGAAGAAGTAGAAGAAGAAGAAGAAGAAGAAGAAAGAAGGAGGAGGGGAAGAAGAAGTAGAAAGGGAAGAAGAAGAATATGACGAAGAAGAGGAAAGAGAAGAAGACGAAAGAGAAGGTGAAGAAGAAGGAAAAAAGAAGAAAGGGGAAGATGAAAGAAGAAGAAGAAGAAGAAGAAGAAGGCCTGTCTACTTTGAAAAATAATTACTTTTGAAAGGTGCCGCTGTATCCCTCTGCAAATCATAACTTACCTTTTTAATATTTTTTACTTCTTACTTAGACTAGCCAGAAAACATATCAAGATTTCGGAGAAAATAAGAAAATATACTTAGTCGAACATCATGTAAGATCATCGCTTAAGCTGAAAAGATGGTCAAATCGAATTTCACTGCGTAGACTAACATAGATTATACTAGTGTTAAAATATTAAAATAATTACTTTTGAAAAAATGTTATTGATTTATGATTAAATCCAAATAATGTCGGCAAAGTAGGGTACACATAAGCCTTAATCGATAGGAAGAAACATTGTGAATACATCTAAACAAAAAACAGCAGTGGGTGGGTTATGCAACACTTAATGTAATAGTCAGAACAGGGTTAATATTGGGCGCATGCGTATCCAACGTCATAAAATAAATGACTGTTACCATAAATAGACAGAAGTGTTTTTTTTTTTCACTGTCATATCGTTTTGGTGAAGCGAAGACTGGTACCTAAGGGCTTCCCGCAGACGACACCAGCGTAAGTGGAGTTCGGTCTAATCCCAGGTCATTAACGCTAGATATGAGCATAGTTTCTGTAAGAGTCCATGTAAAACTAACTTGCAAGTCATGATAACATATTCAAGATATGTTATTTGTATAGTAATGACTATTTACTTTATTTACATTGTTCAGACTGTTGTCCTCATCATTATTGCCATGGTTACGACGTTTTGGACGTTGTACGCTCCGGTATTCTTCAGGTGACTGGAATTTCCAATTGAATCCTTTAGATCTATCTATATCTCTGAGATGAGGTATTATGATTATTAACAATATTTACATTATTTGGACTGTCATGCTCATCTTCATTGCCATCATCACAATCGCCTGAATAGGGTCGGAGCGTACAACGGCCGAATCGTTGTGAATATGGCAATGAAGAGGAGAATAACAGTCCGATTAATGTAAATGAACCTTTTATTTCGTCCACCAGCGTAGATTATTCTAGCTCCACGTGCCATGCCTCTTCCGGGTGTCTCAGTTATCTCGCTTTTACTCAACTCTCCAAGGTTTTGTTTAACACTGCCGTAGACAGGTATTGAACTGACAAATATTTGGGTCAATTCGCTGGATCCAACCAACGCGTTTATCCACTGGGTCATGTATTCTTGAGGACATCAGTCTATGGTATACAAAATAAATGGTTCTGTTCGAAATTCCAATCACCTGAAGAAGGTTGGAGCGTATAACGGCCGAAACTTCGTGACTATGGCAATAGAGATGAGGAGAAAAGCCCGACCAATGTAAATAGTGTAAATAATTAGAATACCTCATCTCAAAAATATAGAATGAGAATGTAATCTTTTCAAATGACTATTATATCCAACGTTATTTGTAACTCAATAACTGAAGATATTAAAGATACAAGTTCATATATTTTTAAGCTCTTTAACTTACTGTTAGTTTCACTCAACCTCTGGAGTTATATACCAAATTCCAAGTTCCTTGCTCCTTATGGAGAGATCAGTGTGGCTTCAAGAAGTAGATTATTATATATATAAGGTAACAAGAGTGTTTCCTATAGAGCAAGGGTTGCTTAGTTATAATTATTGCTTGCAAGTTTAATCCTCACTAAGCACCATATTATTGTAGCCTTGAACCAGGATAAGCAAAACATTGTGAATATGTCAACAAAGATAGGGACAACAGTCCGAACAATGTAAATAGTGTAAATAATTACAATACCTCATCTCAGAAATATAGACAGATATCCTTATAAAAACCAACAAATCTCATACCATTACAGAGTCATCATCAGCTTTCATAACATTCAGATGGCAATTTCCTTCACACATAAACTCAACTGTCTGCTCAAGTTCAATGATGGGATATTTTTATTCTGTGGTATTCATTTTCAATCAAGTGATGCTTCATCTAGCTTGTAGCTATAGCCATTTTTTATTTATTTAGTAGATAGAAACTGAAAGGAAAAAGCATCTGGACGTTATTTTTATTATATCTGGAAATCAGTTTTATAGGATTAAACTTGAGACCACCTAAATCAGAAGACCCTGGGGTGGGGTTCATGGGTTTATTTGTTTCTGTTTTATAGCCTCTCAACAACTATAGGTCATTTTATGCTGAAAGAAAATGCTGTTGGGATGATTTTTGTTGGATTATATAGATTTTGGAGAGCTCCAATTGTTTTGTGGGATTGACTGATTATTGGTATTTGTATGCATTTAAAATTTAATGCATTCAATATAATATTGCCAGTAATAAAATTCAGTGAAATTGCATTTATTTCTTATTCTGTTTGTATTATTTACATTATTCGGATTGTTATCCTCATCTTCATTGCCATATTGACAACCTTTCGGCCGTTGTACGCCCCGGCCTTCTTTAGGTGATTGCGAATATGACAATGAAGATGAGGATAACAGTTCGAATAATGTAAATATTGTAAATAGTCATAATACTTCATCTCAGAGATATAGAGAGATATAATGGGTTCAGTTCAAAATTCCAATCCCCTGAAGAAGGCCTGAGCATAGAACGGCCGAAACGTCGTGACTATGGCAATAAAGATGAGAAGAACATCCTGAATAATGTAAATAATGTAAATAATTACAATACCTCATCTCAGAGATATAGACAGATAGAAATGAATATGTTCAATTAGTGAACGATTGCACCAATACTTGTGGGACACTCCTCGTAATTGTGGAAATATTTAATCTCCATTTGTGGAATGTTTTAAAGAAATGGTTGACCTTTTGGAATTCTAAATGAGGATGGCTTGAATTCAAATCCGTGCTTCTATCTGGCCTTGAACTTATGTCCCTTAGGGAAAAAAAAACAAAAAAAAACATATCGATCTATTTAAAAGCCAGCCTACCCTGAAATCATTATATATATATATATATATAAATATATATATATATATATATATATATATATATATATATATATATATATATATATTAATGGCTATGTAGGTATCAGAATATGAGCCACATATGCATTTTGTTTTCTGCATAAGACACACTGTTTACGTATACAAAATAACCGCACAATTAAACGTCAATGTCCTCGCACATGCGCATGCGTGTCAGTGTCAGCCTACATATGAATATAACAATTCAGAATTAATGAACATGCTTATTAAAAAAACAAAAAAAAACAAAACTACTATCTTCAGTGATAACTCATACTGTAAAAGATAGCACTAAATTGAAAAAAAAATAAATAAATGAAATAAAATAAAGTAATAAATAACTAACCTTCTCTCTTTAAGTGAATATATATATATATATATATATATATATATATATATATATATATATATATATATATATATATATATATATTGATTGATTGATTGATTGATGAATCGGAGAGCCGAGTTCGAAAGGCAGTCGAATCCATTGCATTCACCTACATGCTATTAATCCTCTTCTTCTGCCTCCAGCTATTTACCTATAGCAGACTGGGTTCTATAGCATCGGATGGCAACTGGTCTAGGAGAAGGAAAACTCTGAATTCAAAACTTGCAGAGGGTCGTTTAAGGAACTTGAGACATGTAATGCACCAGGTCTTAATTAATGTAACAAACATAAAAGAAATGAAAATTGACATAGTCCAACACATTTGATTGAACACACATATACACACAAAGGCACACACACACACACACACACACACACATATATATATATATATATATATATATATATATATATATATATATGTACATACATTTATATATATGTGTGTATGAATATAAACTAAATAACGTGATATTAGAGCAAATATATATGCGTGTGATAACGTATATATACAGATGAGCAATTAAATATTTATTTAATTTAATGTGTAAACAAAACAGTGCTTAGTGTAATTAAACCGATCTATATTATATATTACTAAATACACATATACTTACGTTTCACCGTTACTCACTTCATCAGGCATAAATGGTAAATTTAACATTTGTGCCTGATGATTAAAGGTTTTCATGAAAATCTGAGTTGCCCTGCTAACGTAGGTATATGTGTATTTATTCATATATATATATATATATATATATATATATATATATATATATATATATATGTGTGTGTGTGTGTGTGTGTGTGTGTGTGCACGTGTATATGTGTGTGTGTGTGTGTGTTTGTGTGTGTGTGTGCACGTGTGTATGTGTGTGCGTGTGCGCGTGTGTATGTGTGCTTGTGCATGTGTGGGCGTGTGTGTGGGTGTGTCTGTTTATAGATAGATATATAGAAAGTCTGATTAATCAAAAATAAAAATAGCAGAATTTTTTTTTTTCTCCATGTCTCATTCTCTGGTGAGGCTTTCATATTAAAGTAAAACATGTTAAATTGATAAACGTTTCCTATTTGTTCCATAGACAGGTAGACAGATAAATATGAACAGAATGAGATAGATAGATAGATAGATAGATAGATAGATAGATAGATAGATAGATAGATAGATAGATAGATTAGTATTAATGCGTAATTGAAATGTACAATCACTTATCTTCTGACTCGGATTTTAAACAGGCACGCATCCACTCGTCAGGTTTAATATACCTTTATTAGAATGAACTTATTCCAGACATGCTGATCTGGGTCTGCTAAACATCTAGTCGGAAGATGACTCATTGAATTTGTATTTGCCCATTAACTAATATTGCTATGCGCGTACGCATACACACAAAGCCACTCCTACATACACGCATACACATACATAGATGTTAGTATTGAACATTTCACTTGCGAATATTTGTTCACCTTAAACGCCTTACCTTTCAGTAATATTTTTTAGCGTATTTTGTTTGGGGCAAAATATCTTTGAAAAGTTAAAACATTGTCATTAAAAAGAGCCTAAAACTAAGTGTCGATCAATTAATAAAAAATGACTTCATAAATTTTTATACTCACCATAACAACAAAATAAGATCCGGATTAATCATCTTATTGTGGCTCACAATATTTACATAATGTAGAGAAATAAATCGAAGCTTATATATTCATCAATACCCTCATTATTTCAAATTCAATGCGAAACGAACGGCTCATATATCAGAATAGAAAAACTGACCTTTTGTTAAACCCATCAAATCAAAATCTATATTTCCCATGAAGTCCTAATAAAACAAATGTAACAGCATCATCTACATGTAAATAAAGACTAAACATTATGAAAGCCTTATTAATAAAAACAAAAAACAACACTCAGTAATATCAACTATTAACATGGACACATTATCTTGAAAATGAAACGTATAAATACATACATACAACAATCCATTGCCTGTTAGCAGTTAATATATTTCAACCTTGAAAATGGCTAAATGTATAGCCGAAAGCGCTCGGATAAAAAGAACAGTTTGACAGTTTTTATATAATTTATTCTATAATTCATACTCCGAAAAGAAAAAATAAATTAAAAGATCACATGAGTGTCCGCAAAAAAAAAATTGTCATCATTTCGCAGGCCAATAATTTTGGCGATTCTTGTTGAAATAACTTCACAGATCAAGATTTTATATTTAATGTTTTATTTTTGCTCTGTTTTTAGGTTGAGCCATGCCGTTCACTCACAAAGAGAAGTCATTTTGCGTCTTGGAATATGCTCGCACACAGTCACCCAAGACTGTGCAGCGCGCCTTCAGTGCAAACTTTGGAAAAAATTCAGCTGGCAAACAAATTTGGACTTGGTACCAATAATTGAAAGAGGAAAGCTGTGCTTATGCAAGGCTAAAGGATCTGGTAGACCATTATCAACATCAGAGTGTTTGTCAAGAGCTTAACTACCGACTTGATGTGTGCCGTGTCACAGGCGGTGCACATATTGAACACTTCTGAAATCGGTCCCATAATAAACTTATGATGTTCAACACGTAAACTGTTCAATTTCATTCAGCTAGACGTAGTAGTTTTCAAGATGATTGCTTTTAAAATAATGTCAAATGTTTTGGGACACCCTGTATATATAATAAAATGTAGTTTTAAGGTATGTTATATTTATGGGTTAAAGTGCTCACTGTCAAGGACAGAGAATATGTAAATATAAAAATTGACATGGAAGTCAATACTCAGAGGCGACTTCCTGTTTCATTGTTAAACGCAATCGGCAAGCCTGAAACAGACAGTCGCCACTGGGTGTTGACTTCAATACCCAGTTAGTTTAGAACAAGATAAATATGAGAATAGAAAGATTACAAAAGAAAATCATATTCTTGTTCAAGATACAATCGAGAAATTTTACTTACTGAATAATGCGAAAAAGAAAAGATAAGCGCAAGCAACATTTTGGTATATACTCATACATACATACATACATAAATACTTATATATATATATATATATATATATATATATATATATATATATATATATATATATATATATATATATATATATATATATATATATATATATATATATTTTTTATATATATATGTATGTATATATATATAGGTATATATATATATATATATATATATATATATATATATATATATATATATATATATATATATATATATATATATATATATATATATATTCAAGATCAATAAATGGATTATTAGATTCTAAGACAGGCAATTAAAGCAGTGAAGATGTATAATTAGGGAGGCTGCTATAGATAGGTAATATATATTTATCTCTATAAAAAAATATTACAGCCCAGTATTACATTATATATATATATATATATATATATATATATATATATATATATATATATATATATATATATATATATATGTAAATAAAAAATAACACCGAGGCATTTTGAGTTCCTCAGGGCAGTTACATTCTTTATCGTGTGTCGCCCGTGATTTATAGAGAACTTTCTTTGTGTGTGTGTGTGTGTGTGTGTGTGTGTGTGTGTGTGTGTGTGTGTGTTTAACTTCTGTTGGCCCGGATGTTACTGTCATCCGGGTTCCTAATTAGCTATTAAATATTTTTCGCATGCAAACATCCTGTCATAGTGAAGTTAAGTTCGGAAAAATCAAAGTCGTCAATTTTTCTTACTGGCGCCATTTGCAAAATTTCAAGCCGTCTCGCATCGCTCTTTCTTTTCTTTCTTACTTGTGTGTCATCCTATCTTTGGTTGTGTGTTGCTTTCGTCTTTTATTTTCCAGAGATATCGAGACAGAGCAGTGTTGTTACGATACCTAATCAGTCTGAACGATATTGCATGGTTACTGTATCTCCTTTGAAACGTTTCCTCGAACGAACCAAGATTTCATCGCACGGAGACAGTGTACTTTAATTTCAGCTCCGTATATAGCATTGCCAGTCAAACACTGTCCATTTAAGGGAGTAATTTTCATATCTTTTTTTTTCTTTTTACTATTACAAGTTTTCTGTTTTATTTGTGGATCTACGCCTAAACATTTTTAGCTAGTGAGAAATGTTGCACACACATCCGGGCAAAAATAAAACAACCAAAAAAAAACAAACAAACCACGCGTTATCCATATTTAAAGCATACACCACGAAAGACACATGATAAAGCACATGAATTGAATCTGGCCTGATGATCGTTTTTATTGCATGTGTAACTTGAGTTGTGTTGGTTTTAGTTTCATAGGCTCTACATCGTATTTTAAAAAATCATTTCATTCCAAGGTAAGCGATAATGCCACTAAGACCCAATTGTTTACTGAGTGTTAGAAAATATGAGAAAAAAGAATATGAGAAAAGCAATTAATAAGACAGAGGATAACGATTGACTTTGCATTTCAGTTTTCTAAGTAAGAAGATTTTAGACATCGAATCATAAAAGAACCAAATTACAATAGTTCCAAAATACTTTCCTTTGAATACATTCACTTATTCCTATCTTGAAAAAGATCTGTAGTTTTTAGAATATTAGAGAAATATTTCAAAGTAAGACTCCCCAAATGCAACTATTTTGTATAATCGATCCTCCATAAAATAGGGTTTCTCAAAAGTGGGTTTGCGTATTCTTGGAAATACATAAGAGAGATACAATGGGTGAAGGGATGAAACCTCTGGTATTTTGGGAACTTCGCCTCTTTTTATCAATAGATATTCATGAACCTTCTGTTTTTTTCTTCCAATTCAAAACAAAAATATTTGCATTCTGTATTCCGCCTTTGATTATCATTTCATTCGGAATCCGTTTCGAATTTATTCCAAATCCTTTGCAAACAATTTACAAAATTAATTTATAGAATTTTGAATGACTCAATTTAGAAATATTCTTCCTACAAAAGTTTTGGTGCTCCATGGCAAAATCATACACAAATCTGTCCAAAGAATTTGTGTCATTTATTTCCTTTTCGCATTTAATTATCATTCTAAACAAGGGTTTTAAGCGGGATGCATTCTCAAAAGAAACTTTTGGACAAGACAATGAGAAATGTACATGTGTGTGTGTGTGTCTGTTTGAAAGAATTCTTAGGTTTGATTTGCTTCTTGAAGAGATCTAGTCTTACTCATCCCACAAAAGTCCTTAACAGTATATTGCATAAAATTGTAAACATGCATTTGTCATTTGTTATATATTTTATGATATCCATAAATTTTATTCCATATTTTTCTCAAATGGTACGTCAATAGAATCGGATCGAACGAATAGCACACAGGAGGAAAAAAAAGGTTTAGAATTCCTTTATAACTAAATAAATCAAAACAAGTTAATCATGTATAAACTAAACAGAACATACCAATATGTGTAGCGATATCAGCTGATATTTTGCTAAGGACCTACCTGCAACACATCACAGAAATCGATTTAACAATTATTAGTCTGGATAAAGAAGGCCAGCTTTATAGAGTGGACCGCCTAAGAACCATGTCAAAAGATTCTGACAAAAAAGGTCAGTCAGTGAAGCCAGACTGAGTTCTTGATGAATGAATTTTTTAGCTAGAGCTGACAAGACAATGCTGTTCTCTATAAAACAGTTAGGAAAGTTAAAAACTCGGTAAGACACAGAGGAACGCTCGCTGTCACCCGAAAAGTAATATAAGCCAATTAGTCGATTCACCCCACTCCACTCCACTCGGCTCACTCTGCCACACTCGTCTGTAGCAAAAGGTTGCATTTGCCTACTGCTACAATCATCTCATGGTTTTATTTCCTGCGTACACGATCTGTCCAAAGAGTTATTTTTTTAGCCACAGGCGTTTGAGTGGAAGAAACTGCGCCGAGAGAACGAATCTGGTGGGTGGTCTGAGCTGCAACGCTATATACGTATCAATTAAACATTGATGTAATTTTTTGTCCAAACACTTCGCCTTTTACGCTGGTTGTAAAATCAGTAAAAAAAACATAACCGTGTAAAGGAACACCTCAAAACTGACAATAAAGAAACGACCAATAGATTCCAATCATTCGGGATAACCAATCACCGATGCAGCATAAGTTGAAAGCCTGAAAGTCTATTTTATTTGGGGTTTTAATTGATTTGAATAATGATTGTCAATCAATTTAATTAATTGTTGGTTATTTTAATTAATTAAAAATGATTGTATTAATGCATGAACATAACTCGTTTA